ATCCTTATGATCCATAAAAAATCCTCCTAGGTGTTTCTAGGACATCAGTGCCGGACATTCCCCAAACACTGCTCAAGCACAGTGTTACCTATTCTTCTTTACAGTATCCGCAGTCTGAGTTGGATTGAATTCCTAACTTTGATATGTGATTATTCAATCTACAGTGATCGGTTAATAATTCCGCAATAATTCTTCAGTTATTTTTTGATTGTGCTATGCAATCTTTAAAACGTTTTAAGTTGTAAGTCCCTTAAAACATTTTAGATTGTGAAATGTCATTTAAGTTTATTATAATTTTTATGTAAAAAATTCATATGGATATATTCAAAACAAAAATGTAATAAACTGATGTCCTAGAACTAGGTTGGATGCACACAACTCTTTACAGTGAAACCTTTGTGAAGTTAAAGTACTGCAACCGACAAATTAGTATTACAGTTATTACTTGTTTAAATCATGGGGCGTTCATACAATATAATTGACAACGATAAACTTACGTTCATAAATTCAATAAAAGTGCGCTTATTGTCACAAATGTCATAAATAAAGCTGAAAAAATGTTAGTAAATATTGAATAAATGATCTATAATAAAACTATTTCTAGAAAGACTATCGAACTTTTGGTAAACTCAAACTTAAATTGTTTTTTTTTTAGCTTAGAAATTAAATTAATTTATTTTTTAATTTTTATATAAACTAATCATGTTATTATGTAAGCTCGTCTTAATCCCGGTAAAACTTTAAATGGTTATATGGCATTTTAAAGTGTTGTAATAACTTTTTATAACCAACCAGACTAACCACTCATCATATCACAAAAGATGAATATTGTATATAAAACGTTTTTGATATAATAAGCTCTGACACAGTAGAAATTAATATAAAAAAGTAATTATGGTAATACTACAAAGACTCCACTAAACGTGACGCCAACAAAAAAGTAGAAAAAGGTGTCATTATGCACCTCATCATACAGCAAAGAAACAAAGTTACTACAATAATATCCACACTCTTCCAATGAATACATACAACTGTAAAAAAATCTGAACGTGACATCTTGACGAGATTATGTCTACCATTGTTTAATTTGATATCTTTTACTCAACCGTGTTTCTTCCTAAAGCATCTATTTTCTCGTACCATGCATGGTCTTTTTGTTTTCGAAGAAAAATTTCTCTTTCGATTTCTTGTTTTTATTTAACTTCTTATTTTAACATTTGTGTTTATTGTTCCTTTTTTGTTTTTTTTTTTTTCTTTTTCAAAGCGTTCTAAACATTTCGACTTTTTAGGTCAAATATGTTTGGAGCAGAACATAAGATACATGTGCCGCAACTTGCATTTAAAACTGCAACACTGAATCAACCTCGCGTACGAGTACAAACTCATTTTCTGACACAATCATGTGTCAGAAAAATGTTTTCTAATGCACATGCGCAAGTATGTGGAAGCGTGTAATTTGTCTCTACAACGTGACATCTGAGATGCACTAAATATTATGCCATAGACTGGCAAAGATGTCTCTACCGACTAATCACCATTTCAGTCGTCACTTCCTTATGACCATAGTTAATACCAATAATATGAAGCGTGAATATTGTTTATTGTTTACAACTATTTCTAGTACATATAAGTATTTGTACCGTCCGACAAAATCTGTTCTACAAAGTCGGTCTGAGAGCCAGAGTCTATCTCAGTCTTAGTAGGTTCAGTTAATGTTGCATGCTTATCAATTTGTCAGCGTCATTATGTTAACTTATGTTAAGTTAAAAAACTATATTATTTTTTTTAAATATGTAGTTCATTTTTATCTATTGTACATTGGTATAAAAGAAATGGAGTTGTTCGTTGCGGATGTGCATATGTGCAGTATTCGTGTTATTTGTAATTATTTTTCTGGTTAGAGTCGCTTTTCTTCAAAATTGTCATTTTTCCGCTTCAGTTTTAATAATGAAATATTTCTTGCTTGTCTCACATTTCAATGACATGAAGATATAAAATGTATCTTTATTATGTATGTAATATACGTGATTCGGTTATTTGTATTGTTATTAGGTGATTATTAGTAAAATTGACAATTATATGGATAATTAGTAGTCGAATGATTTCTGATAAAGACTTGTTATTATTATTCTTAAATATTGATATATTATGCGTATATTAAATGTTTTTAACGTATAACGTATAAATCAATTCATGCAAATATTTTGAAATAAATAACATTTTCTGTAGCAAATGTTTCGAAATACAATATTATATTTAGTGTTTTATTAAATAATATTTTTTCAAGAAATCAATAACAAAAATTGTATTATTTATTGAAACTACTTTTTGTAATTTTCATGTTTTTTCTTAATATACTGAACTCATATTAATAGTAAACTTCAAATTGGTTCATATAGGTATACTAAACAAAATCAACCAAACAAAAATCAAAGTGCAATTTAATAGCATCAAAAACAGATGAAATAAGCGAAAAAGCTAATCGCAACAAAAAAACAAAAAACAAAATCAATGAGACAATGACAAAACAATGGTCTATCAGATAACAGCACCAAAATCCGGCAAACAGCACTAAAAAGTACTGTTCTAGAGGAATAGAGGAACAAAATTTGCAAAACAACCCTTTGTACAAACATATATCAGTTCAGAACCCCATTATAGAAACAGTAGATAATAAATATAAAATGTGTTCAAAATATTTCATAAATATTTAAAAAAAAAATTATTAAAAAAATTTTTATTATTATATAAATTATTAAATAAATTTTTTTTTCATTCATTTTTAAGTTGAGCTTTGCACAAAATTTTTTTTGTGATATGTCAAACAATTTGAACTACTTTATGCAAAATTATACTTCAAATAAATTCAAATAATCTACCGGATCAGGATTAATGGTGAATATTGTTCTCGATGAAAGGACGAGCTGTATCTCTAATAATGTCGCAATAAACTGTTGGTCTATGTGAGTTCCTATGTCTCTTATAGTGGGGATTGTCATAAAAAAAAAATAATAATAATAATAATAATACATAGAAATAATAATATGAGCTGTATCGCCACAATAATATAAGTAGTTAAGCCAAACTTGAGATGAAAAAATATGCTCCAATTAAAAAATATTTGAAGTCTTTTGAAAATCGAGAAAGTGGATCGACTTCTTCAAAATGAAAGACTATTAACAGCTGGGTAACTTGTTGCACCATAATCAGTCTCTCTATAATCAGCGAGCAATATTTAGAGGAGACGGGCGGATAATGTTAGATGCGCCCAAACTCTGACATACTACGGTTGCAATAACCAATCAATTAAGTGGATCGAAATTTTCGTTAATTGTTAAACCCAAAAAATATTTTTGGGTCAAAAAAATATATAACATATTTTAAATAACGAATAAGTACAATTTTATAAAGTTTAGGAGATACAGTCAAACTTCCATAGCTCAAATTTCTATAACTAGAATTTTCTATAACTCAAACTAAATAGGGTGCAACAGGATTTGGAGAGCAAATTACATACAATAACAAAAAAATTCTTTAACTCTTTTCCTTGCAAAATGGTACTTCGAGTTAAGGAAGTTGGACTGTCATTCAATCAACCACATGCCAATGCATTTTTTTAAAAGATTTTTTAAAAATATGCCTTTTTTCATATTTTTAAAACATTTTTTGGAGTATAATTTGTCGCGGCATGAATAATGCAATTATGACCGAGTTTTGAATATATATAAAAAAAAATTAACAAAAAAAACTAGGTAAAAATTTAGGTGGTCTATATTTTACAGCAATCGGGGCCAATAAATATGTGAAAAGAAAATTAAAAAACATTAATATTTTAATGTCATGTTAAGTTAATAATTTTAATAATAACTATTTTTCATGATTTTTTGTTAAAAAAGTGGCTCCACCTCATATAGCCAATGCTATATTATTAAAAATTATTAAAAAACAATATTCATATGAATTTTTCGGATTTAATTAAAAATTCCACGAAATTTTATTAAATAAATTAATCACTTTAAAGTTTAAACTTTTTTTATAGTTTCAAAGTAATTTTTAAAAAAAAAATATCAAGTGAAGTAAAATCTAAAATAAAAAGTTTCAAATGAGGTTTGCAAAAATATGGCTTAATTATAAGGCAGATAAAGCATAAATTTGATTGAATGCAAAGTTTACGAGTAAATCTCATTAAAACCCTAAAAATTTCCCAATAATGTTAATGAACTTGTAAAGATTTATAATGCAGAAAAAAAACAACAAATTGTGCGAAGCCGTACATATTTAAGTAAAATACAAAAATAAAATAAAAAGTAATAAAAAATATCAAATTTCAAATCAATATATTAGTTATGTACATAATAATGGACACATGTTGAATGCAGGTACCAGCAGTATGTAATGGCATACGTCCTTGGCTATTAAAATAATCACTTAAGCCATCATCATAATGAAGTTGATGAATGGTCAAGATTAAAACAATGCAAGCAGCGGCCAGTTAAGTTAATGAAAGATTTTGCATCAAATTACAAAAATTTTCGCACAAGTTGAGAGCCGGCCAATAAACCTGGTTTTCAACGTAATAAAAATACTTACGTATGGAAAAAAATAAACGTAGATGATAATAAAAAATACAGTTAACAATAATTAATAGAGTAAACAACATGGTCTAACATACTATAGGTTTGAAGCCTTAAGGCCAAACATAAACAAGCATTACCGTTGCAAGGTCATTCAGTTTATTGGACCAAGTATGTGGTTAAAATATCATTGGGCAGTCGGGGCAGTCAGTGTATGGGTTCTGCAAAATTTAGTACTCGTAGATGTGCCACTTTTTGGTTTCATGCCCACAAACGAAACGAAACATAATAGTAAACGAAT